ATGGCCTCCGCTGTTTTTCCCCCCCGTTGTTGCCCCCTCCGTTAGTAGGCCCCTCTAGATTTCCCCCCGTTTTTAGTCCCCCCCGGTTATTAGCCCCCCCCTATCTTTCCCCCGGTTATAATCCCCCCCCCGATATTAGCCCCCTCTGGCTTTCATCCAGTTATAAGCCCCCCCGGATATTAGCCCCCCTCTAGTTTTCATCCGGTTATAAGCCCCCCCGGTTATTAGCCCCCTCTAGCTTTCATCCAGTTATAAGCCCCCCCCGGATATTAGCCCTCCTCTAGTTTTCCTCCAGTTATAAGCCCCCCGGATATTAGCCCCCTCTAGTTTTCATCCGGTTATAATTCATGTTTCTAATAAATCCCCCTAGCGGAAATGCTAAAATACAAAAACTAATAGCAAAACATGTATTCGAATGCTTTTTAAAAAGGAAAGGGGAAGACGGCAAAAAGTAAATACTCTAGGACTTAATTAATAACTTATTAGCCATATACGGTTAGGAGTTTTTGTTAATTTTAGTTATTCGGAAATAGTTGATGCATATTTATTGTACAAGCCTCCAAATAAAAAAACATGTATGTATCTATGTATGTATTTATGTAAGCCCCCCCGGATATTAACCCCCATCTCGTTTTCATCCAGTTATAAGCCCCCCTCTAGTTTTCCTTGTTTCTCAATATTAAGTACTCTCGCAGAACCCTGTACTACAGCAAAGATGAACTCTGAGCTTCCGGTTATGTTCACGTTGTTAACTTTTGATTTTGTTCCTAAAATTGAAATGCATTCGATTTATTACGTGGCTTGAAAGTTAGTCCCCTCCGGCTGGAAAGTTAGTCCCCGCCGGATATAAGTCCCTCCGTTTATAAGCCCACCCAAAACCCCTTACGAAGTTGCATAAGCCCAGGGCTTATAACCGGAATTTTAAACGCTCTTTCAATTCCTGCTAAAGTGATTTTTCCCAAAATAATTGTTTTCGTGTTTACAGAAAATTGATCATGTGACCAAGTATTTCAAAAGGCCAGTATTGTATACGATGGGCGACAGTTCAAGCAAAACTTCTTTCCGGCCGTGTCTGGAGTCATTTCATAATTCTTATAATTCATCTCACGTATTTTTTTGTAATCATTTGATTCGACTTAAAACCTATTTCTCGTTTATTAAAAGGTACAGTCGACTCCCGGTAACTCGAACCCTCTATAACTCGAACTTCCCGCTAACTCGAAGCAATTTTCATTTCCCATCAGATCGTTTTCTATATAATTTTACCCTCGATAACTCGAACTCCTGACAACTCGAACTTTCTTCTATTTCCCTTGAAGGTTCAAATTATCAGGAGTCGACTGACTGTTGTAAATTTAAAGAAAATTTATGTTAACCGATAGAAGGTGCGTTTGTCTAAGTAAAACTTTAATTCACTTTCATTTCATGATTACTCTGAGATAACTGTTAAGATCCAATGTGTTTAGCTCCTGTGTGAAGAACGTGCAAAAAGGAAAAGCCTAAGATTCTTCTGATGAACTAGGAGACAAGAAGCCTATTAAGGCTATTAAGTGGAGAATGTGCATACTAATCTCGGGTTAAGTAAGACAACGCGTGAGTGTCGAGTCACGAGGTGAACGGAAAAGTTTCATACAATGTGGAAAACAAGTGTGCTTAGATGCTCTGGCTAGCTCACAGTCACTCCAAAGAATGTATATATCGAACAATATATGGTTTGAAAACCTCAGGCGACTATTCAGCGGACGATATACAAGTATTCGCGATATAGCTGACGTGAACTCGGGACTTGTGAGACCAGCTTGTGAGGCAGAGCGGCCGGGACTCGGGCTCTGGGACTGGGCCGGATGGAGACTCCAACACTCTGACTACTCGGGAACGCTGTCTTCATTGGTAAATAAAAATTGCGAATGGCGAGTTCGTTTAAAGACGACTACAGTGAGAAGACATTAAATCAAGAAAGAAATTTATGATAATTTATCGTTCCAACATCTCTCATTATGTTACCCGTAGACTTTCCTTCGTAAACACCTTACTAATCTGTAGTTTACACGTGAACAGATGAACTGCACGTTAACGGATACGCCAAGTTCACGTTTCTAGGACCAACTTACACAAATTGCTATTTTTTATTTCTTAGTATAAAGAAAAAACATTAATCCCTCCAGCGGAGTTGAAAGTTTTTTGCTTTGCTCCAAGCTTACCATTATTCATTTCACTTCCGACAAGAAGCTGCAAGCTAGCAAATAGCACTAAACTTGGTGGACAAATCCTAAGAGCTGTTGATGAAGTTGTCTTCGTAAAGTGAATCACAGTCTTCAGTCCAAAGCAAGCCGGAAACATTTTAAAGTGTAAAAAAAAGCAATGAAGAATGAAGAGGTGCTGTCAAACGGAAAAGTAAACAAAAAGGTTCACTGGGCCTTGAACC